GTGGGCTAAGCACTTAACCAGTCTATAGCCCTCAGCCTCCAGGCCAGGGCAAACAGCTACAGTCTATGGTTCAGGCCTTCTGGCCTAAGGTGAGTGCACAGCCAGCACCATGTGTGGGACTGGCATCAAGGGTAGGGGGACCCATGTCCACCCTACTCAACTGGGTCCCAGTCCAGGGCCCTAGAAGTGATGGGCAATCCTGCCACAGGGTCAGTGTGGAAACGTGAGGCTGCTGCTTCATGTCTTGGCAGCGCAACTGGACCAACGTCTTGCATCCCTGGGCTATTTCCTACCAGCTGCTGCTGGCATTGCTCTGTCGCCACTGAGACTTGGCTCTCAGTCTCAGTGTCAGGTGGTCCTTCCTCCAGTCTCTCTCCGGGGTCTGCTGTCTCCTGGGGCAGTGGTTTGACTGTTCTCTCCACTGTCAATCATAGGTTCGTCTGAGGGCTCAGCTCCCTGGGAATGACATCTGCCTCCTACCCTAGTCCAGCCCCAACTGAGCTGCAGGGCCCTGCTTTTATATTTCCTGCCCTGCTTCTGCGCTTCCTATGAGGAGGACAGGATGGGGTTAGTTGTGCCCACCAAGGGGAGTTAACCACCTCCATACTGGAGGGAGACTACTCTGCCTCACTACACGCCATCAAAGGCCTCAAACAGGAGAAAGCTCCTGGGGTTGACAGAATTCAAGCAGAACATGTTCCTCAAGAATGGAAAGATGGTATCATTAAGGCATTACCCAAAAAAGGGTGATCTTACTCAGTGCAGGAACTGGACAAGTATTGCAATGTTATCAGTCCCAGGCAAAGTATTCACTAATTCATGCTGTTCAGCATAAGAGAAGTTAGTGAATGAAATATTACGAGAAGAACAGACTGGGCTCTATCCAGGTAGATCATGTTGTGAACAGATATTCACTCTGACAGATCATCAAAAATCCATCTTAATCAACTTTAAGAAAGTGTTCAACGGTGTCTACACAGAGAACTTTTGTAATATGGCTAGAAACTATAGAATACCAGATACATTGACCAACATAATAAGGAGTTTATATGATGGAAGTACATGAGCAGTAAGATCAGATACAGGCCTGACTGAGCGGTTTGATAGTATGACTGGACAAGGGTGTGTGTTATCACCAATTCTCTGTACATTAGCTGGCAACAAAAGACATAGTGGACAGGCGTTAGCCAAAATGAGTTACATGACCTTGACTTGCCAACCACATTACTTTACTAAATATGACATGGAATGGAATGATTGCCCTTACATCAGAGATAGAAAAGGAAGCAACAAACATTGGATTGAAAGTAAATGCACAGAAAACCAAGATTATGTAGGTAGGAAAGTGGACAACAGTTGCAAAGTTGTACATGGATAGAAAAGAAATCAAACAGGTAGACGAGTTCTGCTACCTGGGGAATGTGATGACGTTCAAAGGTGACTCTGATAAAGATATTCGTATGAAATTGGGAGAAGCAAACACCATTTTTGGAAGGATGAACAACATCTGGTCAGAGTTCTCTCCACACCAAACTAAAGTTCCAATTATACCATGCGATTGTACTAAGCATGCTGCTGTACAGAGCAGAGACGTGGCTGATGACAATGGCTAACAAAAAAAGACTGGATGTTGCCCATCACAGACAGCTGAGGAAGATATTACAAATATCACAGTAATACAAAATAACAAATACAAGAGTAAGGGAGCTGTCAGAACAGGACATGTTACAAAGTATCAAAGAAAGACTGCTCAGGTGGTTGGGATGTGTACACCATATGGAAGATGGGAGACATGCTAAGCAAGCATTGAATTAGGTACCGAAGCGAGGAAAGAGAAAGCAAGGAAGGCCAGACAGGAACTGGCAGAAGACAGTAACAGAAGGTACTGAATGAACTGGCATTGCCTAGGAAGAAGTACCACAACTAGTGAGCACATAAGTGATGGAGAAACTGGACAGCTCAATGTATTAGCGGCACTTTCCTTCTCAAGCATCTTTGAGAAGAAAAGTGCTCAGCTTGACTCTTGGATCCCAGGCTAAGTATGCAACATGTGCAATTAGAAAAAAAACACATTTTTATTATAAACTAAGCTAACTTGCTCTAGAATCAATGACACACAATGACCACTGACCCTCCTGGTGCCATTTTTACATCTCTTTTCCGAGTAGAATTGTGAACAGTAGGTTTTGGATGTGTGAAGTACCTGGGGAATAGATGGGCAATCAGACTACATTTTGAACTGTGTCTGATGGGCTGGGAGTACATCAAATCTGCATGAAGTGATCTTGACCTCTGGCCTCCAAGAAGTGGTGTTGATGAGACTGGAAAGGAATCTCATCCAGCCCTCCTCCATTGAAATACAGCCTCAGTGATGGGGGGCTGGGGAGCCTGCCTTGAGGGAGGGAGGGAAGAAAAATGGGGGATGATCCTCCACAAAGCATCCCAAAAACAGAGTCAAGTAGGAATATGTTTAATTTAATGTTGCAATGAGGAACCTGAGTATTACCGCGCACAGGGCTGTGCACAGCCCTAGACTGCTGCCATTTTATACCGTGCCAGTTGGTTCAATGGTTAAAGAGGGCAACAGGGATCCAAGCCTCCTGAGTTCTGTCCATGGCTCTGTGAAACCTTGGACGAGTTCACAGGGAGCTACGAAGAAGAAATCATGATTGTCTGAGATGACTGGATGGAATGGGCTATAGAACTGTACAGCATTATTAGTACGCATGCATTAGTAATAAAGTAATGATACTCATTAATTCTGACAAGGCTGTTTGTACACCAAGTCCCCCAACATGTTAATAAGGTGTTCTTCAAAGTCACTATAGGCCTCAAATATTAATGTCAGATATCCTTTGGCACAACTCTCTTAGCCTGAAACCTCTGGCAACTGCAGCACTTAGCAAAGTAACTTTTCAATATTCCCATAAAAAATTAAATAGAAACCTAAATTCTATTTAGAATTTGAAATATGAATCTGAAATATACTTTATTCAAGCCTTATTGAAGAAACAATTTATTACAGCATTAATCGTCCTGATAAAAGGAAAGGAAAGTTTAGCCATGACTAATTAACCTAATTATAACAGACTGTGACAAAATGGTTGTATGAGAACTGTTCCTTAAGTAACCACAACTGCCAAAACCTCAAAAGCTAATAAATCAACACACAGTAATGAAACATAAACACTAATAAAGTTTACATCATGCCTATAACTTGTAGTAGAATCAATACTGCAAACAATGATCACAAAGGACAATCTAATGGCTATTTAGTATTTGGTAACAAAGAGTTCATGAGCTGAACTACGACTCTTTTAGTGAGATATTTACACAATATAACATTTTGGTACAAAAGGATGAATTTGCTATGCTCAGAAACTGACCTCTTTTTATTGTGCACTAACCTTAAATATGCATTGAATTTGTTTTTAAAAGGTCAAAAATAAAATGCTGCCACCTGAACATGTAAAACACCCCACTGAACCATGGAAGAACAGACGACGTGTGTTTATTTTTAAAAAATTCATTCATTATTATGCGACATCTCTGCAAGAATGAGCAGAGCTAGTTTGGCCTCAAAGTTCCAACAACATTTTGCACGGCACTGCCAATTAAAACTTAGAGCAGTGAGGACAACACTGACAACTTGCAAAGAGTTCAATGCATGTGTAAAATGGAGCAGATTTCAGCCACCCGCATCTTTAATATAGAGGTACAGCCCATGGAGATAACAGATCTCAGCCTGTGGCCAAGTTCATGCTAGGACCTGAAGTCCCTGGGGGCCCATCTTCAGTATTAACAATGAGGTGAATGGGGCACATTAGCTGCCCTGGTCCATGTGCCCATGGTCCCTTTGCATCTTGAAGCTTTGATCCAATGGTCTCCCAAAAATGTAAAATGGGAGTGAGGGTAATCAAGATGGTAGCAGGGTTCTCTGTTTTTTAACAACAGTCCAGTTTGAGTCTGTCTTAGTCCTTAAGAGTGTTTGATCTCAGAAGCAGTGGTTCCCACACTACATTGTACAACTTCACCCCAGCACAGAAATTCATTAATATCTGAGATAGCAGGTCCAGAACCCACTGCAGTGCAGCAAAGCCCAATGGCCATGCCCCAGAACGCTTTAAACTAACACCTGTATGGGCATCAGTAGAGATGTGTCATAAAGTACCATAAACAAACACCTTCATCACATTCCTGGATTACAACAGTCACCAGAGATTGTTCATCAGCAGCAATACAACTACAGATATGGCTCCCAATTCAGCAAGATTCTTAAACACATGTGTAACTGTAAGCAGAGGAGTCACCCACTGACGTCAGTGGACTAGTCATATGCTTGAAGTTAGGCATATGTTTAAGCACTCTGCTGAAGCAGGAAGTACGTTCCATGCTAGTTGACTGGCAAGCAGTCAGGTAGTCCAGAAGGGTCATTCCCTCACTCTCCCTCCTCCCAGTGCAGCAGCTCTTAGACCACTCTATTATGTCCCTGTGCACAAGCCTTGCTAAGGTCATATCAGTTGGTATTGTCGGGGCTACAGCCTCCTGCAGAAGTCTCTGCACCACAAGTCTCTGCACCACAGCCACAGATACTTGTCTCAGCCTTAAATTGCCCATATCATCCTGACCATGCATAGCACCTGGCCAGCAAAGATCCCAAAGTGCTTTACAAATTGTAACCGCTCAGCATCTGCTGAGCGGTTACAGAGGGAGAATCTGATGCATGGAGAGGGAAAGTGACTTGCCCAAGGTCACACAGGGAGCCAGTGGCAGAGTGAGGAATAGAACCGATTGTTTTCACCACCAGAGAAATCTGCTTTCCTAAAACAACACTTTGTGCTAGCTCTAGACTGTGGCTGGTGTTCCATCTATTGACTGCTAGAGGAATTGATCCAAAGCCTACTAAATTAACATAAAGATTCCCATTGACTTCACTGGACTTTGATTCAGAGATATCGATAAGAGATATTGAAGATTTTTATTTTAAGTTAAACAGTTACCTTGATGCCACCCCATGAGTGATTAGACAGGAACTCCACTGGACTCGTGACTCCTGGCTGTGCTGGATATCGAAGCAGGAAGTCCAGCTCCACCACGTTAATTTCATTATTCATCAGAAGTATCTGCAATGTCCAACAAATGATGTACCTTAGCACTGCTGTTCGGATTCCCGGAGTGCAGCAGAACAGATTAGAACATTCATTGTAAGAGTCATTGCATGCCAGAATGTGTGACTAAAATGTATAAACTGCCACCAGATAAATGGGGCTGGCAAAATATACATCACAGAGTTGTGGAGTAGAAAACTGAGGAGCTGGAACAAACATATGGAGTCCACTGACCCAACAGTGATAAGTTTCTAAAATAGGACTTGGGAGGGGCTGTGGACCAGGTCCAAAGGGGCCACAGAGAGCAGCTGGGAATCCCTCGTGGCACGGAGGAAGCCTTAGGGATGTGGTTGGTTCTCCATCACTTGCAGTCCAAGTCAAGACTGGGAACTTTCTCAAAGATATTCTATAGATCAAATAGAAGGTGTGGGCTTGATGCAAAAATTGCAAGGTAAGCTTCTATGGCCTGTGCTATGCAGGAGGTTAAAGAGTTATATACATAAACACAATGGTTCCTTCTAGCCTTAAAATGCATGACCTTAGGGACAATGAGGTACAGTGAACATCTGTTACATAAACAAAGCAACTACTTGCAAGCGTCCTTATTCCACTAAAGAAATTAAAGCATTTGCCCTTCTTTTTTCCAAGGGCTAATACATTTGGTACACAGGAATCATAAACTAAATCCAGAACTTTAACAATGTACACTGGCATCCAACGCAGATCATCTCAAAGTGAGGTGTTGGTTTTCACATGTTCCACTGCAAAGAATTTTCAGTTCCCCAAAATACCATGAAAATTTTTTTAAACCTGCGTTGGTGTGAGTGTGTGGTAGGGGAGCGGGTGAACACAAAATCACATGAAAGGAATTGGCCAAAAATTTTTCACGAGTTTTCACACAGATTATGTCACTGCAATGTGCCAGTTTTGGCCAGCTCTAACCATTTTGTCCATGTGGGATCACTCAGTGATAGGAGAGAGGCATTCAGTGTGGTGAGAGCCTGTGGAATCTGAGCGAATAGCTCACGTTTCCTGAGAGGGGGGTCTGCATCAGCTGTGGGCTGGAGATGGTCTGCAACATGCACCCATTATTATTGTTCACATGTTGTCACGGGATGATTGGTGACTTTTCCTCATTTCTTTATTGCAGCGTTGCTGACTGTAGCTCACTATCAACCTATGGAGCAATAGCTTTGGCAGTATCATGGAGTCATGTTTAGCATCTCTACATTTAAAGGGATGGGTGAGTTTTCCAGCTGAAGCGGGAATTACCTTATTTTGACATGGATAAAAATAATGTCTTATCACCAACCTCACTCCACCTCCTGTTAAGTGCAGAGATTTCATCGCCTGAAGTAAACCCATTCAATATTTTCAACAGATAATACCTACTTACAAACTCAACATGTACTACTTGTATACTTTACCTAACAAAGCTAGGCGTATATTTCCTGAAAGAGTATGTGTGTGTTGTGGATCAGAGTTAAGGCTCTTTGTGTAATGTATAAGGTGACATTTTACATGCCAGTAATTTTACTAACAAAGTATACCAACTTAAAGAGAAATGGAATATTTATATAAATCACCTTTCCTGGTAATGTCTATACTTTTTAGTGCCTAGGCTTTTTAAAGTGTAATGTTTTTGTTATATAATATGGACAAGGATTATATTACTCACTGGAGTGAGTTAACTATAAATTAACTATTTGTGTGGAGGGATAACCTACAGTCAAGTCAGATCTGTGTTCCATACTGTTCATTGCATGTTATACAGTAACATATATCAAACTGCCACTCACTGCACATACTTTATAGCAATTTTACAGCATAACGGCAGTCACTATTTATTTACTTATTTTCATTTCAATATGTAGGCATAAAAAGGACTTGCACTCTGGGCTGTTGACATACCAACAGATCATTAAAAATACAGTTAAGTTAAGATGAAAACAGCAGCAGCAAACCAACTACTCTTTCTCCACATACAAGCAGCCTGTCCCCAAAGGCCACCTTCCCCATCACTTCCTTGGGTTCCACAAGCAGGCATCACTGCTCAAACAGTAATTTGCAAACTTAATGCGAACCAAAGCATCTGTGATTGTTAGCAGTGAGAGAAGCAGAAGGGGAAAGAACTTTCCCAGACCACATACATTAGCTGCACGTATGCTGAAGGGCAGGAATGGGGATTGGGTTTTCTCCTGGAGGACAGTGTGCAATGCCAATAACTTGACTTATCACACATATCATTCCATCTAAACGATACTGCTCCGGTTCTTTACCTGGAAGGTCACTTGGGCGGTGTAGGTCAGTTTGTCACACTCAAACAGCCCCCGGGTGGTATACTGGAACACAGAGAAGGTGATGCTGTCGATCAGGTTTAGAACACGCTCTTTGAGGCTCTCGTCTGGAGAGGCCCTCTCCACAGCCTTCTGAAACACGACACTGAACGCCTGGATGGGGGGACAGGAGGAAGATCTTTGATGCTTTACAATTACTCTTTTAATGCCCTGAATATTGTATGCAACATTCCCACAGCTGAAGTGGATTCATTTTTTTTCTATCTCATAAACAAAGCAAACAGCCAAGTGGTATGAACTGCCAGCTCTAGACAGCTGTGTAATGCGATTGGACACTAGGACTTGGACCAGCTTTTTTCACACTCTCTCTCTCTCTCTCTCTTTTCCAAGGCAAAAATGTTTACTTGCTGCTCTTTTGAGAAGTATTCAGCCATAAAACAATGACGTTCTCCATGAAATTATGCTCATTTGGGTTCAGGAAGGTAGTACATAGGCAGGCTCACTGAATTAAAACAGAATGTCTAATGGAAATATTTCACATGATCTGTACAGCTCTATTTTGCAAACATTGAGCTGAAAGACACTGGAGTTCCCAGAGGAGAACCTACCTCCGTCACATGTCTCATTGCAATTTAAAGATAACAAATTCCCTTAAGTGCAACCCCCCCCCGCCCGCCCCCAACAAAAAAAAACCCCACCCATGACTTTTTTACTGCCTGGATTCAGCAGAAATGACAAGAGAAGAAGGGTAGATGATACCCAATGATCTGGGAATTAGATTAACCCAATAAGGTCCCCTCAGGACATCCATTGAGGAGGAAGCTATTACGTAAAATATGAAACATTTCTGATGTAAATGAGAAAAGACTCAAAAGCCTTCAGAGCATGCTGGAGAAAACACATTAGCAAATTACCAAATTCTACTGAAGAAAATCCCAACCACAGCTTGGTTAAAAATGAGAAGACTCCATAAAGTGGAAACTAGCTAATCTGAAATAACCAGCCCAGTACAAATTAATAACACTAAACAAGCCAGATATGGCTGTGCAGATAGAGTTATTTTTAGGGTTTTATAGGCCCAAGCAAAGAGAAAACAATACAGTTGTAAATTAGAGTAATATTGGTACATATTTTATTGCTCAATTATTTGTAGAATGTATTTTTCCTGCGTAAATTTCTTGTTAGAACATGTGCAGAGACCCATGTAAATCTTATGTACACCAATTTATAATGGGCTTTGTAGCTAAAGTTATAACATCATTTGTGAAGTATTTTGCAATCATCGCTGCACATCTCTACAAGACAAATTATAATGGGAGATTATAAAGTATTAGTTAAAAACATTTTAGGAATCGTTTTCTAGGTATTTATACACACTGTTCATGTTACTGAAAAAACTCCCAAGGTACAGATGAAGTGGATGAAGGGTGAAACCTCAGATGTTCCTGTACCTGTTATGTGTGGAATGGATCTACTAAAGTGTATACTTGTAAGGAAGATACTCTGCACATTTCCCTGACAAAATAATCTCAGCATGTGAATCAGCCCCATATATGCTATTCCAAGAAGGACTGCTAGGCAGAGATGGCATTCACCTTTCGAGGAGGGTAAAGACCCTATTTGGACACAGACTGGCTAACCTAGTGAGGAGGGCTTTAAACTAGGTTCAACGGGGACAGGTGAGCAAAGCCCACAGGTAAGTGGAGAACATGGAGACCTGGGAGATGGGTCGGAAATAGGAGGGAGCGTGGGCTATAATGGCAGAGAGAAAAGAGGGTCAGGGCAAAATTGGGAGGCAAGATCAAATCAGTATCTTAGATGCCTATATACAAATGCGAGAAGTATGGATAATAAGCAGGAAGAACTGGAAGTGCTAATAAATAAATACAACTATGACATTATTGGCATCACCGAAACTTGGTGGGACAATACACATGATTGGAATGTTGGTATGGATCGGTACAGCTTGCTCAGGAAGGATAGACAGGGTGAAAAGGGAGGAGGTGTTGCCTTATATATTAAAAATATATACACTTGGACTGAGATGGAGATGGACATAGGAGACGGAAGCGTTGAGAGTCTCTGGGTTAGGCTAAAAGGGGTAAAAAACAAGGGTGATGTCATGCTAGTAATCTACTACAGGCCACCTAACCAGGTGGAAGAAGTGGATGAGGCTTTTTTTAAACAACTAACAAAATGATCCAAAGCCCAAGATTTGGTGGTGATGGGGGACTTCAACTATCCGGATATATGTTGGGAAAATAACACAGCGGGGCACAGACTATCCAATAAGTTCTTGGACTGCATTGCAGACAACTTTTTATTTCAGAAGGTTGAAAAAGCTACTGGAGGAAGCTATTCTAGATATGATTTTAACAAATAGGGAGGAACTCGTTGAGAATTTGAAAGTGGAAGGCAGCTTGGGTGAAAGTGATCATGAAATCATAGAGTTCACAGTTCTAAGGATGGGTAGAAGGGACTACAGCAAAATAGAGACAATGGATTTCAGGAAGGCAGATTTTGGTAAGCTCAGAGAGCTGATAGGTAAGGTCCAATGGGAATCAAGACTGAGGGGAAAAACAACTGAGGAGAGTTGGCAGTTTTTCAAAGGGACACTATTAAGGGCCCAAAAGCAAGCTATTTCGCTGGGTAGGAAAGATAGAAAATGTGGCAAAAGACCACCTTGGCTTAACCACGAGATCTTGCATGATCTAAAAAATAAAAAGGAGGCATATAAAAAATGGAAACTAGGACAAATTACAAAGGATGAATATAGGCAAACAACACAGGATTGCAGGGGCAAGATTAGAAAGGCAAAGGCACAAAATGAGCTGAAACGAGCTACAGGAATAAAGGGAAACAAGAAGACTTTTTATCAATACATTAGAAACAAGAGGAAGACCAAGGACAGGGTAGGCCCACTGCTAAGTGAGGAGGGAGAAACAGTAACAGGAAACTTGGAAATGGCAGAGACGCTTAATGACTTCTTTGTTTCGGTCTTCACCGAGAAGTCTAAAGGAATGCCTAACATAGTGAATGCTAATGGGAAGGGGGTAGGTTTATAAGATAAAATTTAAAAAGTACAAGTTAAAAATCACTTAGAAAAGTTAGATGCCTGCAAGTCACCAGGGCCTGATGAAATGCATCCTAGAATACTCAAGGAGCTAATAGAGGAGGTATCTGAGCCTCTAGCTATTATCTTTGGAAAATCATGGGAGACGGGAGAGATTCCAGAAGACTGGAAAAGGGCAAATATAATGCCCATCTATAAAAAGAAAAATAAAAACAACCCAGGAAACTACAGACCAGTTAGTTTAACTTCTGTGCCAGGGAAGATAATGGAGCAAGTAATTAAGGAATTCATCTGCAAACACTTGGAAGATGGTAAGGTGATAGGGAATAGCCAGCATGGATTTGTAAAGAACAAATCATGTCAAACCAATCTGATAGCTTTCTTTGATAAGATAACGAGGCTTATGGATAAGGGAGAAGCGGTGGATGTGGTATACCTAGACTTTAGTAAGGCGTTTGATACGGTCTCTTTATTGATATTCTTATCAATAAACTAGGCAAATACAACTTAGATGGGGCTACTATAAGGTGGGTGCATAACTGGCTGGATAACCGTACTCAGAGAGTAGTTATTAATGGTTTCCAATCCTGCTGGAAAGGCATAACAAGTGGGGTTCCGCAGGGGTCTGTTTTGGGACCGGCTCTTTTCAATATCTTCATCAACGACTTAGATATTGGCATAGAAAGTATGCTTATTAAGTTTGCAGATGATACCAAACTGAGAGGGATTGCAACTGCTTTGGAAGATAGGGTCATAATTCAAAATGATCTGGACAAATTGGAGATATGGTCTGAGGTAAACAGGATGAAGTTTAATAAAGACAAATGCAAAGTACTCCACTTAGGAAGGAACAATCAGTTTCACACATACAGAATGGGAAGAGACTGTCTAGGAAGGAGTATGGCAGAAAGGGATCTAGGGGTTATAGTGGACCACAAGCTAAATATGAGTCAACAGAGTGATGATGTTGCAAAAAAAGCAAACATGATTCTGGGATGCATTAACAGGTGTGTTGTGAGCAAGACACGAGAAGTCATTCTTCTGCTCTACTCTGCACTGCTTAGGCCTCAACTGGAGTATTGTGTCCAATTCTGGGCACCGCATTTCAAGAAAGATGTGAAGAAATTGGAGAGGGTCCAGAGAAGAGCAACAAGAATGATTAAAGGTCTTGAGAACATGACCTATGAAGGAAGGCTAAAAGAATTGGGTTTGTTTTGTTTGGAAAAGAGAAGACTGAGAGGGGACATGATAGCAGTTTTCAGGTATCTAAAAGGGTATCATAAGGAGGAGGGAGAAAACTTGTTCATCTTAGCCTCTAAGGATAGAACAAGAAGCAATGGGCTTAAACTGCAGCAAGGGAGGTTTAGGTTGGACATTAGGAAAAAGTTCCTAACTGTCAGGGTGGTTAGATACTGGAATAAATTGCTTAGGGAGGTTGATAAGAGTAGGTTAGATAAATGTCTATCGGGATGGTCTAGACAGTATTTGGTCCTGCCATGAGGGCAGGGGACTGGACTCGATGACCTCTCGAGGTCCCTTCCAGTCCTAAAATCTATGAATTGCAGGAGAAAACCTCTTCAAGGCTCTAAGGGGTGTTTCAAGCTCACAAGCAGGGTTTACAAACTGTCTGGAAAAAGTCCTAGACTAGGAGGCAGACTCCCCTTCACCCTCATACAGCTGGACTCCAAACAACATCTTCTGTCCTTTGTGAGCATGTAGCATTGTTATATTTACACTGAAACCGCTTGTCATCTGAGAGACCTATGCAGTAATTGCTTTGAAGCTGCCATGGCCCAAACGTGTGTCCTTCTCTGATGGACTCCTTTGCAGGAAAAGACCCAGAAGAGCCTCTCGGCACCATGTGACTGGCCAAGAAGAAGACTCTGGAGGGTTATTTTGTCAAGGCAAAATTATTAATTATTAATTATTAATTATTATTATTATTATTTGTATTGCAGTAGCAGCTACGAGCCTTAGTCATGACCTAGGGCCCCATTGTGCTAGGTGCTGCACAAACACAAAACACAACGATAATCCCTGCCCCAAGAAGCTTACTGACCAAGCAGACATCCTGAAAGTTAACCTCCTGAAAGTTAACCCCACCAGTCAAAGTAGGGAAACCTACTGGTGAAACAATGCCCAGACTTGAAACCAAGAAACAATTAACTATGAATTTACAGCTAGCCACATATTTTAACCTATATCAAAAAACTAAGTCTCCTACTCTAAATCCCAGTGGAGAGCAAAGATTGGATTCTGTGTCCATTCAGGTTGGCAAAAGAAGGGAACTTACAGACAGAAAAAACAGATGAGTTCAACAAATTGGCAGCTGGCCTGGAGGGCTGTGATCTGGAGCTGACCTTTTGGTTCTCAGACGAGGGGGTTTAGGCTGTGGAGACTTGGGAGGTTCTCTTTTTCTGTCTGTATGCTGTCCCTTTTGTGACTGTGATTTCTGGTTATTGCCATCAGAGGAGTGAAGTTCTGGAACAGCCAACCAAGGGGAGCGGGGGGGGGAGGGGGCAAAAAACCTAACTAGCTTCAAGACTGTGCTTGGTAAGTTTATGGAGGAGATGGTATGATGAGATTGCCTACAATGGCATGTAGCCAATCTGCAACTGCTAGCAGCAAATATCTCCAAGGGCCAGAGATGGGACACTAGAAGAGAAGGCCTCTGAATTACTACAGAGAATTCTTTCCCACATGTCTGGCTAATGGGTCTTGCCCACACGCCCAGGGTCTAACAGATCACCATATTTGGGGTCAGGAAAGAATTTTCCCGAGTCAGATTAGCAGAGCTACCTTGGGGGTTGTCGCCTTCTTCTGAAGCATGGGGAATGGGTCACTAGTGTAAATGGTGGATTCTCTATACCCTGAAGGCTTTAAATCAAGCTTTGAGGACTTCAGGAACTCAGCCAGAGATTAGGGGTCTATTACAGGAGTGGGTGGGTGAGGTCCTATGGCCTGCAATGTGAGGGTTGCACCCCCCCTTACCCTTGTCTGCGCCCCCTGTCCCCTCCCCCGCTACCCCCCTCCCCGGGTGCCAGGGCCGGGCATGGGTCTGTGGCTCCGGGGGGGGAACACGGACAGGGTTAAGGGGGCTGAGGCTGGGGCCACAACTGGGGATGGTTTTGGGACCAGGGATGGAGCTGGATCCAGGGGCCGAGGCTGGAGGCGGGGTCAGGAGCTGGGCCCCTGGCTCGGTGAGGAGCCACACCAAGGTTGGGGATGGGGTCAGGCATGGGCCAGGAGCTGGGGCTGCAGCTGGGGGCAGGGCCGGAGCAGAGCTAGGGGCAGGGCGGGGCTGGGTGGTGCTCCTTCCCCACTCCCTGTGGGGACTGGCCTGGGCCTGCTGCTCCCTCCTCCCCCCACCGAACGTTCCTTTGTGCCCCCTTAGGAGGACACGCCCCACAGTTTGGGGACCTCTGATGATCTTGATGGTCCTTTCTGGCCTAAAAGTCTGAGTCTATGAGCTGCCCTTTTGTAGCACAGCTCTGGGAACGACTGCTCTGCATATACAGAGTTTTATAACTAAATGTATTTCTTCCATTTCCTTGTGGTAAATGAGACGGACATTTCTGAGTTCCTCCAAACAGCTAGTTTCAACTATATTTAGAGTTACCAGGAAGACTACAGGGTGAGGGATTACTACTTCCCAGGTATACTACTTTAACATTAAAACGAAGCAGTTAATACAAAATATTGTTGTGAAACATAATGCATATACACACATAAAATACTTCGCAAAACCAAGGATATGAAAAGGGCAAGCCAGGCTTCAGTGCATACTCCACCCATAGGCACAAACCTTACCATTACCACAACTACCATACACCACAGATCAGGCAACAACAATACACTTAGACAGCAAGGGTCCGTATCACCAAATGTATATGGCCACATTGCACAGCTTTAATCTGGGGGTCTAAAATCTCCTCAGGGTTATTACTGATTTGGTGTAGCCAGGTTAATCATGGATGACTGCGTGGCCACTGCCAGTCCATGGCCAGGCAATGTCCCCTCCAAGTCCAATCAAGACCTCAAGTCCAATCTTCAGGGCTCAATGTGTGGAGACTTTATCTCTGAGGTGGGCTATATGATCAAAAATGCTAGCTGGCTGTGACAGCTGATGACTTCAATCTTCTTGAGACCAGTTCTCAATAATGCATTCCTATTACTGATAAAATCAAATCATCTTGTGCCTAGTAGTAACTGCTGGCAACGCATATGAAATGCCTCAAGCAGCCTGATGTCTTGTTTAAGAAAGACAGATCATGGCCTGCAAACTTAACGCTGACCCATAGGGATGCCACCCTTCAATCTTTAATCAAACTATCGCCACCTAACACAACACACTAGTGCACTGCACAGCCATGATTGACAGCGTTGGGGGGGGTAGCTCGTCTCTCTCAGCCACATAGACTGTGCACTATTTGTAGGAAAGACCATCTTGCAGATGACACAAAAATTGGGAAAATGGTAAATAATGAAGGGGACAGGTCACTGTTTCAGAGTGATTTGTATCACTTGGTAAACTGGGTGCAAGCAAGCGATATGTGTTTTAACATGGCTAAATGTAAACATATACACCTGGGAACAAAGGATGTAGGCCACACTTACAGGATGGGGTTAGGAAGTAGTGACTATGAAGGTGATTTGGGGGTTACGTTGGATAATCAGCTGAACATGAGCTCCCAGTGGCCAAAAAAGCTAATGCAATCCTGGGATATATAAACAGGGGAATATTGAGTAGGAGTAGAGAGGTTATTTTGTCTCTGTATTTGGCACCGATACAACCACTGCTGGAATACTGTCTCCAGTTCTGGTGCCCACAATTCAAGAAGGATGTTGATAAATAGAAGAGGGTTCAGAGAAGAGCCACGACAATGATTAAAGGGTTCGAAAACATGTCTTATAGTGACACAGACTCAAGGAAATCAATCAATTTAGCTTAACAAAGAGAGGATAGAAGTGATTTCATTACAGTATCTACATGGGGAAGAAATATTTAATAATGGGCTCTTCAATCTAGCAGAGAAAGACATAACACAATTCTGTGGCTGGAAGTTGAAGCTAGACAAATTCAGATTGGAAATATGGTATAATTTTTTTAATAGCGAGAGTAATTAACTGTTGCAACAATTTACCGAGGGTTGTGATGGATTCTCCATCACTGACAATGTTTAAATCAAGATTGGACATTTTTCTAAAGGATCTGCTTTAGGAATTATTTTGGGGAAAGTTCTCTGGCCTGTGATCTACAGGAGATCAGACTAAATGATCATAATGGTCCCTTCTGACCTTTGAATCTATGAATATTTCTGTGGTGTGTTTGTACAGCGTCTACCACAAAGGGATTCTGGTACAGGACTGGGACTCTGAGGTGCTACTGAAACAAAAATAAAACCATGAAGTGCTTTTAGAAAGCCATAAATAACAGCAACCTCCATGAAAACCAAGCAATAGAAGGGATTAGGTTATACCTACTTTTATAGTGGGAGTTAAAATACCCTCCCCTCCACCTGGCCAAGAAAACAGATTCCATTTCACCGTAGTATGTTAATGAGGTAACTAAACTGTCCAGCAGAACTCTGGGGAGCTGGGAGAGTTCTTGTCAGTCACAGGGGCAGTACCTTCAAAGAGAACTGGTACATGGGGTGAATGGCATTGAGGTCGTTCATGATGAAGTACAGCAGAGAAGCCCGTGCTGCTGCAGGTCTGTAGTGCTCCCTCGCCTCGTTAATCTTTGTTTCTGTCACCTTGGACTCCTGGACCTGTGAGGAAATTAAAGACCAAAACAATCTTGAAACTATTTTAATTGTGTGACTCTCTCTCACTTCCGAAAAGATGGGGAGAGCAGAGTTCTTTTGCTGCCCCTGTGTGATGATAACACCTACCACAAAACTGGGTGACCAAAAGAGAGGGCAAAAGCCCCTCTGATTACGACTACAGAGCAATTCTCTGCACTGCCAAGCAGTGAGAATTGGCTGCTGTGATTTCACACAGACTGCAGAGTGAGAACCTGACCTGTTAGCTATTCAAATATTCCCCCTCTGAGCCTGGCAGGTTTGTTTTCTGGGTGGTAAGCAGTGACAGTTAGACCTGGACAGTGCTTATACTGGGAACAGCTGGCCTTGGCTAATTGCCTTGGGTTGTGTTCTGTGAGGCAGGTTTTGGTACATGTTTGTGTTGGCTCCTTCCCTGCCTGTCTCTTTCTGGAATTGAAAAGTGCTGTCACAACACGGTTGGGAAAACCCAAGATCTGCCAGCTGCAGGTAAGCACTCTGCTGTATTTCATTTCACGATGCCCAATTACCTGCTTCCACTGGGCCCCTCTGAGCTTCCCCACAATACGCCCTACTCCTGACGAGCCTAGGTCTACACTACGGGGCGGGGTCGACCTAAGATACGCAACTTCAGCTACGTGAATAGCGTAGCTGAAGTTGCGTATTTTAGGTCGACTTACCTGGCTGTGAGAACGGCGGTGAGTCGACCGCTGCCGCGCCGCCGTCGACTCCGCTTCCGCCTCTTGCCGCGGTGGATTTCCGGAGTCGACGGCAGAGCCATCGGGGATCGATTTTATCGCGTCTTCACTAGACGCGATAAGTCGATCCCCAATAGATCGATTGCTACCCGCCGATCCGGCGGGTAGTGAAGACGTGCCCTGACATCAGCTAATTTTTCCTCGCTAATCGCCCCCCACATGTGGGTCATTAATGAATGTAAGGTACCAAGCAATTCTAGGCCTAGCTAGCACTGCTTCCAGGGTGACTCTGCTATTAACTCCACTCCAAGCTGAGAATTGGTCATTTACTCCTACTCTTTGATTTGCTTCTCAAAGAGTTCAATCCAGGACAGGACCATATCTCATATTCAAATAAGGCTCATTGGTCTGTACTGTCCAGGATCACCCTTAGCACCATATTTAAAGGTGAGTACAAACTGATATGGTTACTTGGTATAAAGCAGAGGTCACTCGTAATGTGGTCTATTTTAATAAATGAAGATGTGAGTAAGTGAGGGGTTGTCCTGGGGGGAGGCGGGGCGCTGATTGGCAAGGAGGATGGATTAATGCTACAGACAAAATGTTGAGGCCTGATCAATACAGGCTGCATGTGCAGGGTTCCAACAAGCAAGGTGCTGGGAGGCAAAATACTCCTGTACTGTCTTGCACAGCTGGCTTAATGACTTTTTCTTCACCTTTACCCTGCCAGTTTTAAGGTGCAGCTAGGTTACAGATTGACAATCGAGAGCTGCAGCATGAGGGTCTGTGCAAGCAGAATTGCTGCAGAAAAGATTACCGAGAAATTGCTAAATGTCACTTTTACCCCCAGGCTGCAGGACTTTTATTGCAGTTCCACCTTTACCTGACAGCAGTTGCATGACTCAGAGGGAATTCGCAGCATACGAAAGAGGGAATCCATGAACTGCTATGAGAACTCCCATGACAGTGTTTGAATTTGAAGACGCATAGAATTTAATATTAATAAGTGCCACAAGTGTATGGGGTCAGGTACAAAAATAAATCTTTCCATTGTTAAGAATTAAAGTGAGAGACAAAGTTTGATTTACAGATTTGTAGAAACTTTAGGCCTTGTCAGCACACATAAGTTGCACCAGTTTAATTGAAAGCAGTTTTTAAACCAGTGCAAGCCCCCATGTGGACATCCTGATTTTGGTTGAACAGCAGCTGATTTTGGTTTAGTGATTCCTAATCAACTTCAGCTAACCCAACATAAGCCATTCTGAAACTGAAGTAGGAGTGTCTGCACGGGGACTTGCGTTAGTTTAACTACACTGGTTTAAATTCACACTTTCAGGGCACGTCTTCACTACCCGCCGGATCGGCGGGTAGCAATCGATCTATTGGGGATCGACTTATCGCGTCTAGTGAAGACGCGATAAAATCGATCCCCGATGGCTCTGCCATCGACTCCGGAAATCCACCGCGGCAAGAGGCGGAAGCGGAGTCGACGGCAGCGCGGCAGCGGTCGACTCTCTGCCGTCCTCACAGCCAGGTAAGTCGACCTAAAATACGCAACTTCAGCTACGCTATTCACGTAGCTGAAGTTGCGTATCTTAGGTCGAACCCCGCCCCCCCGTAGTGTAGACCTAGCCTTAGTTAAACTAGTGTAAGTGTCTTGGGAAGAGTTAAAATGCTTTTAAATAATGAAGGTGAAGTGTCTCTGCTCCTAGGGTTGCCACTTCAGAGGTAAAAAAAAAAAACGGGATATTTGCCTGCCCCCACCCAGGGCACTGTCTCTCCTTCCCTTCTCCAGGGGCTGTCCCGGGCATCGACCTTGGCAAGCAGGATGTGGCAACCTGCTCCCACCCAGAGGTGATCCCCACAGCTGGTTCCTATATGGAAGTGACTGGATGCTGCCAGCCCCAAGCTCAAACTGTGCCGCTCACTGCTCCCAAGCTGCCCTGTCCCCACAGCTCCCAGACACTGGAGCCAGAGCTCCCTCTGTGCAGGTGCTGCCACCCCACAGCTCCCCAACTACAGCTAGTAGGAGCTGGGGGAGCCAGCAGGGGCATGACTAACAGAAAAGGGTTCTTTTAATGTCCCGGGAGGATGTACAATTTCCTGGGAGAGTTACCTAGAAAAAGGGACGATCCCAGAAAAACCCAGACAGGTGTATTCTAGCTCCATGGGGGAGGGTCACCGAGCTTCCCTCCAGGAGCTACAACCAGTGGGAGGTGATTACAGCACAGCCTAGGACAGGTAAACCACTCCAAAGAACACCCCGCCACCCCCTGGGGATTTTTACATATACCGGGTCAGGTCCAAGGAACAAAGAAAGGCTTTTGGCATAAGGCTGGTCTGGCTCTTGTTCATGATCTGAATACTGGCATGAGCCTTTGTCCAAGAGGGCAAGCTCTGCTGGAAGGGTCTGAAGGACCTTGTCATCTACCTGACCCTCATGTGGAAGATGAGGGATCTCTGGTAAGCACAGCATGCGGTTAGACCTTTTATTGTTTTATCTATTTCAGGGGTAGGCAACCTATGGCACGCGTGCCAAAGGTGGCATGTGAGCTGATTTTCAGTGGCACTCACACTGCCTGGGTCCTGGCCACCGGTTCAGGGGAATCTGCATTTTAATTTAATTTTAAATGAAGCTTCTTAAACATTTTAAAAACTTTATTTACTTTGCATACAACAATAGTTTAGTTATATATTATAGGCTTATAGAAAGAGACCTTCTAAAAACATTAAAATGTATTACTGGCACGCGAAACCTTAAATTAGAGTGAAGAAATGAAGACTCGGCACTTCTGAAAGGTTGCCGACCCCTGATCTATTTACTCTGTAAATAAATGTACTGCGCTCTGTGAAGGCTGGCTGGTCACTGATACTCCGCTATTATGGAACCTGCAGGTGCTGAGCTACATCAGATGTGCTGGGATAACCACAGGGAATGGCAGGGGAACTTCAACCTAAATCCCCAGTCTGGAGGGAGACAGTTGTGGGACTCTGCCTATTGGGTAGTTCTACACTTACTGCAGTGTGTAGGATACAGACACTGCATGCCCAGCTAGCTTGGGCATAAACAGCCATGTAGTTGGTGGGGCATGGCTCAGGCAAGTAGAACAGAGAACCCTATGCACCTGAACCCCAGAGTATATACCCTACACTGGCTTTCTACATGCCCAGGCAGTGTCTTCCACATCTACCCTGCTGTTTTTAGCAGCGTAGTGTCCTGCTGCTGGAGCCTTTCAATGCAGCAAGTAGCTTCACACGGTGGTGAAAAGTGTGGGCATGGCCTGTGTGGTCTACACACCACCATAAGAATAGACATAGCCATAGAGAGGGGGATAGCTAGTGGCGTGAGACCTAAGTGGGCATCTCTGGAGCAGAACATGGAGGGGTCCAAAACTCTGAGAGGGGGCATGGAAATTATCCTGGCAGCTCTTGCATTGCCAGATCCATTGCCAGATATCAAAGGGCTCTTATGCCTCACATTCCATTAGCATTGTCTTTCCAGAATGAGCATGGAGTTGACCTGCAGCATGTTTCTCAAGAGTCCTGCCAGTAAAACAACTCAAAGGCCACATAGACTGGATCCCAAGTGAGGTCTAATTCCAACATTCAGCCCCTGTACAACAGGGTGGGTGGTGACCCACTTCACAATTGGAATCTGATTGTTCTTGTTTTAGAAGCTAAAACTGCTGGAAACTTGCATTCTGAATGGAAAAGAAAAATGCTGAAAGAACATTGCATTCTCTCCACTGGAGCTTGATTCAGCCCCACAGCCAAGGCTGATTCACATGCCCAGTGGTTTGTGAGGAAGGTACAGCCACTTGAAATGTTCCAAAGCTGAGGATTGAGGTACATAAAGTATTTCAATGGGTGTAAGCAAATGAGAAGGCAAACCACCCACAAAACAGAGTCAGAGGGAAATACACTGCTGGCTTTGGCTTCCCCAGACACCATCAATCAATGGCTCAGTCTTAAGGCTATGAGGGCAATTGTTTCTAGAATTCACACAGCCTTGCTAAAATGTCCTCTGTGTTCTTCTTTGTGACTGAGACAGGCCTGTAGGAGTTCAAACAAAATATCTTTGTCAAGCAGAATAAATATGATTTTACATTCAGAGCTGTTAGAAACAGCCTAAGAATGGAGGGGAAACTGTTAGCCTCTCAGCGAGGTGGGGGTCCCATGCTGAGAAATGAGAGCTCTTGTTCATGCTTGAACCCCCAGCAAAATGATAGGGAAGGGATGACTTGTGTCTGACAGATACAGGGAAAATGTACAAACAGTAAGACAAGCTGTGTAAATAATAATGGTGACAGTGCAGACTGGTTTAAAAACCAAATTTACACCCAGGGGAACTGCATGGGTATTAAACATCTGAGTTTCTGCAGATTGAATCTGGATCACATAAACACCAATGGATTCCAGCTTGCACCTGGGCTAAAATTCTGGCTTAACTGAGGAAGTGTAACGTATTCAGAATTAATCAAATAAGTAAGTAAATAAATAAATAAAAAAGCCACAGTATTAAGCTGCAGCAGTGTAACCAATCTCGATACAGTGTTTAAGTTTTATTGTTTTACATCAGGCACTGCCATTTTCTCTTCTTCCTAAATAGGCCTTTAACATACACACGCTCTTAAGAATTGAACTGCTTAGAGCCAGCCAGATTAGACAGCACAGGAATTTATACTGATTTCGATTCTCTATGCAGCAGAAGGGGCAAGAGGAACATATTAATCTTTAAGATGAGTAACATCACCCATGTTCCCTTCTTCTGGCCCAGACTTTGCTTTTACCTTTTCTTCAATTTCCGCAGCTGTCTGTTTGGTGGTCTCCAGGTTTTCCACCAAGGCCGTGTCCCCGAGGAAGTTCCCAGATGCTGAGGAGAGCCGGGACAGCAAATTGTCCTCCAAAGTTTTTAAGGTGATTTTGAATCCATTCTGCTGCTTTGTGAGGTCTGACTGCAAATAAACAATGAGGCAAGTTTTAGCCACAGACCAGTGTCAAGGGCAACGTGTCAGCATTAGATTTAAATTTTCACAACCCACTTACACAGGCCAGTGTTTATCATGACCTTTTGCAGCAGAAATCAATCCAATCCCTACTATGCAGCTCTCTCCAAGAAACACTGAACATGTACGGACTGAGAAGGGACAGGAGATGTATGCCCCGCAGCTAGGAATGTATTCAAAATAAGAGAGTGCAAACTGGTTTGGAGAAAAAGAATTGGGTCAGATCTCACACGTACACACACCCTGCACCCTCCCCACTGACACCTCCCGTTTCATGCTTGAGTCAGTCTGGATAAGGATGGCCCTCGGTGCAGTCCGCCACTGCTAGCATGGCCGCCACTCTCTCCCATCCCCAAAGGTCCCAGTACCCCTGCCCATGACACATCAACACACGTCATCTCAGAACTGAGAGAAAAATGGGTAAAAGGCTGACAACTAGAAGCAAAAATGGCCAAAAAGCAGAAAGTTCACTTCTATTCAAAGAGATTAGTGCAAGACACATTGCCAGATAGTTCAGTTTCATAACCCAAGGCACAATAATGCCTCCACTTAGCTGTTACTATGGTTTGTATTCAAGTAGTCCCCAGAGATAGAGCCCTATTGTGCCAGAGAATCGAAGACAGTCCCTGACACAAAGAGTTCACAATCTAAAAGACAAGACAATCAAACAGATATAAACAACTAAATAGCCACTTGCTGAAGTACAGACCTTGTAAATTACAGTGCAATTACAGTTTTCCTTCACACAACAAATCCCTCCATAACAACCTGCTCTGTGTCCAGCTGCCACTCCGTTATCTTTCCTCTGTAAATAATGGTTAATAGAAGACATGGCTTATGGTGAAATGAAGGCATCTCTTCCTCAGCTTGGTGACCCTCCACAAGTAGATTCTGCCCTTGCACAAATGATTGCATCTATTGCTCAGCCTTTGCCAGGGGGCACAGTGCCTGTACTGGGATGAAGGTACATTATCCAAGAGGGCAGTTGTTTTACAAATTCTCATTTTTTAACATTGTAGTGAGGCGGACTGGCCTCCCATGGACTCGGAGGGGGAGGAACCCTGCACTGAGCCATGGTGGGCGGAGCCAGGCCACACTCACCCCTCCTGCCGGAAGTCAGTGGGCGGGACAGGAAGTATAAAAGATGGGTCTGAAAGCTCAGTTGGGCTGCAGCTGCTGGAGGAGCCAGATGCCTCCTGCTTGCACCCGAGCTTGGAGACTGCTGCTGGCCCCTGGGGAGCTGAGGACTGGCCAGAGCCGTACGCTGATCCAACAGCGGAGGAGCTGCCAGCACTACCACAGGTCTTCAACCCGGACGATATGGACAACCCTCTACAGGACCAGGTACAAGCTGATGGGGAGTCAGGAAGTGGCCCAGAGCCAGCCGACCCTAGTCTAACTGCAGCACCACCTGTTGCGGTCAGGATCCCCGCTGATCCAGTGGCAAATCTCACTGCCACTGTTAGGGCCCTTGGCCGGGGTGCAGTGGAGTGGATGGGCCTGTGCCCCACCCTGCCGCCCCAACCCTGGGGTGGCTGTCTCCCCCTCTTGAGGCCAAGAAGCCACCACTTTTCGTCCATCAGTCAGAGCCAGGATGCACGAAGCCCTTGCTGCTCGGCCCTGACCGTGAACACAAGCTATAGACTTATTGCCCTGCCCTGACTGAGGGTCTGGGCTACCTGTCTGCCTTTTTTGCTCGGCCCCTGACTGCAGGCCTGAGCTATAGACTCCCCTTGCCCTGCCCCGCCCTATGGGTCCAGTCTACTTAACTGTGTTTCTTGCTCAGCCCCTAATAGATTCTTGGGCCCGAGCTATAGACTCTTGCCACGCCACTAATTCCCCACGACAGGTGACACCCAGAGACGTCGTGAGGCGGACTGGCCTCCTACAGACCCGGAGCGAGAGGAACCCCGCTGCTGAACCACTACAAACACTATCAGAGAAAATATCCCATGGCAAACCATGCACCTGTCTTGTGCACTGCTGGGTATAATATAAGCTTGGCCTTTCTGCTACTGTGCTGTCAAAAGGAAATAATCACAAATATTTTAGCACATAGAGAAGCCCTTTGAAAGATGAAGGCATTTAAATCCCCAGACTGTATTGAAGTAGCATCGCTTTGTGGCTCAAAGAACTGGCAACAGAAAAGGAGCTTTTTAGCACTAAGGATCCAACCCAATTCTAACTAAAGACAGAGATTTCAAATGCACTTGGAGCAAGCCTGAGGTCAAAGCTGCCATCAGATGGCAATTCAGTGTCAGTATGAAATGATCTGGTTCTCTGAGCTCATTCCAGGCACACAGGCATCCATGCCATCAGAAAGCAGCATTTCTACCCTCACTGTGGTTGATAATCTCATTTATGAGACAAGAGATAGAATGGTCCATGGAAACCAAACTTTCCTCTTATTCTTAAACCCCAATCAGTCCAAGGCTGAGGAGTTATGTACCAGGAGCCCTGCATTGCTCCCCAAGTGGTATTTGTTTTGTATATAGAGGAGTTCAGGCTATCTGTTCTGAACCTTTCATTGATAATAAATCAACTTTAAATCTTCCAAAATGCTGGACTGAAATATTGCATATGTTATTCACACACACACACACACACACACACACACACTGTACACATGTTCCGTATCAATGCAGCACCTACAGTATGTAGAACAGCTAATGCACTGAAGTGTGCAGGTTGTTGACATTCCAACTAGAAATCCTCGTTTTCAGGGACTTATTTCTTGGGCATTACATGCAGGACTTTGCCCAAGGAAGTAAATATTTTATAAGTTTTTTGACACAGAAAACTGATTTGGCTATAATTTTGCATGTTCATAGATTCATAGATTCATAGATTCTAGGACTGGAAGGGACCTCGAGAGGTCATCGAGTCCAGTCCCCTGCCCGCATGGCAGGACCAAATACTGTCTAGACCATCCCTGATAGACATTTATCTAACCTACTCTTAAATATCTCCAGAGATGGAGATTCCACAACCTCCCTAGGCAATTTATTCCAGTGTTTAACCACCCTGACAGTTAGGAACTTTTTCCTAATGTCCAACCTAGACCTCCCTTGCTGCAGTTTAAGCCCATTGCTTCTTGTTCTATCCTTAGAGGCTAAGGTGAACAAGTTTTCTCCCTCCTCCTTATGACACCCTTTTAGATACCTGAAAACTGCTATCATGTCCCCTCTCAGTCTTCTCTTTTCCAAACTAAACAAACCCAATTCTTTCAGCCTTCCTTCATAGGTCATGTTCTCAAGACCTTTAATTTTCCTGTCATTCAAACATGGCCTGCATTTAAAATGACATTTTGCAGGCTATTAGTGGTCTAGAATGTGAGGTGGAGGCCCTGGAGTTATGAATAAGGACGGATGCTTTATTATTATTATTTTTTTTGCTCTAATAGCTCATAATTCCTATGTAATGCCCTTAAGTGCAAACAATGAACTGCACAGGATGCTGTATTCCCCACAGATGTCTATACCTGATTACTGGTCTGTTATGCTATTGTTTTTAATGTCACTGAAACTATGGTTAGTTATTTGTACAATGGAATTGTCCATAGTTTGATATTTCATATACTACAATGAAAACGGAATTTCTGAAAAAAACAGGTTATCATGGGGCATTTTATGTTTTGTCCCACCACCAAAAGTTAATCCCTTCTATGGGCTAGCTCTCCTCAGGACTCACAAACTGCCACCCCCTCAAGCCTCACTGACAGATGAAGGAATTGGATTTCTCTATATGTGCAACTATTGTCAGAGATCAAAGCTGCTGTGCCTGCCTAGCTGAGCCGGCAAACAGCAGCCTTTCCCAAGAGTCTAAAAAGCTCATTCCATTCAGTGATGCTGCTGCTCTAGTTCTTTTGTCAAGGCCTCTCTCTCCAACCCCGCCAGGAGCAGCCCACCTCCTCGTCCTGTTCAGGGTAATGGTTTTCCAATATAGCTGTAAAGATAAAGGTCAATTTTTGGAGTAGATTGTCTGTATAGCTCAACATCCTTGGGAAGTACATCCATCCCTGGCATCTAGTTGGAATCCCATTAACACTGGAGCCTCCTCGTAGCCTTTCACATATCAATACTCAGGCCTGTGGACAGTAGGGGGTCGTAGTCGCAGTGAATTGTTGCCTGCTAGAGCATACTCCTGGGTCTCTGGAAGCATTCAGATGATAGCTATGCTCGACCCTTTCGTTCATAATGGAAACCCGTCTTTGACCTTTTAGGGGGTTGATACAGATCCGAAATCTCAAGGTTGATCTAGAATCTTTGGCTGTCTCCGTTGTAATATCACTGTATTCCACAGACTCCTGACACCTCCTGACATCCAGACACAACCACTCAGCTTCTTCTATTCATTTCTTCTGGAAACTGGTTTCCTAAAGCAATAACTCTGTCCCAAGACAAGGGTTTGTACCATGCCAGTTCCATGCCAATACCTCCAATGCCAAATGTATCCCTCTCATTTGAAGTATGGACAGAGGAATATAATTTTCTCCCAAGCAAATTGATATTTCTTCTTGTGTTTGGGGGAGGAATAATGAACCTTTCCTTGCTTCAATTTCTCATTAGCCACCACAACTCAAATCCTATGGCAGGACTTGGTAAAGTCCATCAGCATGTTAAGACATTGCCAGGACAGAGACAGGGATAAGCAAAAGGTGTTGGGATGGCTTAAACAGACCATCAATCCAGGGGGTGAGCCACCTTGCCTTCCGCTGGAATTTGGATGTGAGACTTCTCATAAACTGTCGATAGCTGCCGATTTCAGGAGTTCTCATGAGTTAGGATCTGTTCCAACCCCACGGAAATCAATGGGAGTCTTTCGATTGACTTCAGTGGGAGCTGGATCAGACCCCAACTCAGGAAGATGGCAGTAGCAGACATATCTGACCTTCACATAGCCTGCTCTGGTGAAAAAGAGAATGGAGCAGTAACGTGACTCTGACTGCC